TATGTATAATGTACTTGCACTATTATTATGCAAAGCAAAGTAAAACTCTTTCTATGTTATTAGTGATATATCAATGAAAAACGTTTTTTTCCATGTATTCGCTTCAAATATGCACAAGATTTTGTCAATTATTTCTAACAAGAAACAAATACTTACACGATAAATGAGTCTAGTATTTCGACGACCCCCGTATCCTCCACCCCAAGTTCTATAAACATGTAGTCGCCAACTACATGGTGGTGATCTTGTGGAATATTTCATTGATTCATTAGCAACTGCTTGTCGCAATCGAGCTGTAGCTCGTAACTGTACAATACAAAATCCAATTGTTAAAACCAACATTCCAAAGCCGAATATTCCCAATCCAATACCAACTAATATAGGAAATCCAGTTGAACGAGATTTTCGCCTTGTTACTCCTCCGATAATAAATAATACCATTCCACCCGATAAACTTAAAATGGCAATGAGACCAACAATAATCAGAGATTTTCCTGAAGAGATTGTTCGATTAATATTTTCAATTGATTGCTGAAATTCATCTGGTCTTATGATTCCATTAAGATGAACTGGATAGGTCGAATTAAATTCTGATTTTAGACATCCAGCTAAAACATTGAAGTAAGAGATATTAATGTAAAAATTTATATGAAACAGAAAAGCATCTATACTTACTCTGAATCAATGGTATATCAATTGAGTTTGGATTTACAGGCCCAGTGATCATTTATTTATATGTAAATAAATCTAAAACAATAAAAAAATAATAATATTAATCGAATTTCTTGAATATGAAAATAAATACAATAAAAATCTTTTGAATAGCAGAAGAGATTCGAAATTTATTGTACAATATTTCATCACTGTTCCTTACTCATATGAATTATATCAGGTGTTCAAATAGTCATGATTACTTAAGAAATATGTATAACTCTCTTATTAATAAAGCTTTATCTAATAAGTTTTTTTCTATTTAGTAGATAAGTGTAGTGAGTTTATTTTTTCATAAAGACAAGATTCATAAATACTGTTCAAACTTACTATCTTTAACTTCAATACAAAAATGCAGACGGTTCGCAACTTCTGAAAACACCTCATGCAAAGTTCGTTAGTTTTCTATTTCGATTTCTTTCAATATTCGATTCTTTAAATCATCTAAATCATGTACTGATGTTCTATAGGCATTTGTTTTAAAATATTCTCATAGAAAGAGGTTCAATGCGGTGAAACATGGTGATCGAGAAGCCCAGGATATTAGTCCGCTTCTTGAAATTTACCTATCATCGAAGATTTTGTTTAGCCGGAAACGGACTATTGGTGAAAAAGATGCGGTTAACGCTATCTCTCCGATAAGTGATATTTATTATCATTGGTTCTTTTAAAGAAGGCGCTTTTCCACTCAAACTAATCGAAACTAACAAAAATTTGATAAACGTTTAAAAATATCTTCACATAAAGCATACTTGTTACCACCATTGAACTTCTTTCTATAGATGGAATCGGTCTAGTTTTCTAACGACCAGTACCCATGCCGGTCTGGACAAGTCAGATCGGACCATGCCGACCAGCTTAAAATCGACATCAGCACCGGACCGCTATTACCACTTCTAGCTATGATTAAATGTGTACAACAAAAAAATTATAGAATTGTTTATATTGAACATATTAAAGTTTTTTTTGCATGATTTGTTTTCGTGAAATTCCAACAAAAGTTCATTATATATATATATAATGAACAACATCAATTAGGGCTACTAAGAAATATAATATATATAAGTAAATGAACAACTTAATATTGAAATATAAGACTTTTTTATATTAATAACAGCGAAAATGTTTTGTAATTGACAATATCAGCTAAGAAAGACTATCGAAAATGACAGAATTTACTTTTGCAGAAAAACTGCAAAAGTAAATTCTATATAGACTATCTTTATGATGGAACCAACTGATATTGTGCAACTACGTTGGCACTATTACATAGTGATACATACAACACGACCATTGAATGTTTTTCGTTCTTCGTATAGTATACATATAGGCTGTTTATAACTAGCAAACAATTGTTTTTACTATACGATAACATTATTATACATTCTTTTTC